CACACACCTACACGCACACACACATATATATATTTATATATATATATATACACACACACACACATTATATATATATATATATATATATATATATATATATATATATATATATATATGTGTGTGTGTGGGTGTGTACTTGACGGTGCAAGGCTATGGTAGAAAGGAAAGTGAGATTGGTAAAAAACATGTCAAGTTTCTATGACGATCACGAGTGAATATGTCGCTTTATTGCTAGTGACAAATTGATTCAGTAATAAGGAAATAAATAAATATGTTATACCCTCACCTCAGTTGCTGTGAAGTAACCTGTCCACGATGTAGACACAGGACGCATCACGGAATAGGATTCTAACATATTTCACTATGGAGTTCTCCACTGTTCCTACTACTGTCGCTGTTGCTGTGACCGCAAGCGTCTATTCCACTTCTGAAAACGAATACAAAAATCTGTGCTGAATAACGGGGCTGTGATGCCGACAACAACTTAGCACACTGCAATATATATACACAGTCACAGTGAATAAAGAAATGATATCTGTTGACACATTAATTAAGGGTAGCATGCTGCACACAATTATCCCGATCTCATATATCGCTAGCACACTTCAAAAGCTTCTGGCGTAGTTGCTCAATCATTCGTCGAAACTACTATTGCGCTAATAATCTCCATAGGTTGCTGACACAGAATATCTGGTTGCTTCTACCTCTTGCTGCGAATGTTTGTAACTTTTGTAACATAGCGGCGAAACGATCAGATAACTTCAGTATAGCAGCCTCGGTTTGCACCTTCAAACTACAGTGTGACAACTAACCGAAATAACTCCTGCCAATCACTTCACCTTCAAGGGCACATGCGAAATACTATACAAGATACATCCTTCCCAGTTATGCTACTATTTGAAAGGTCACTGCGTACCAAAGCCAAAATAATACAACGTGTACGTTGCGCAAGAGAACGACTTGGATTCGATGTTCCGCTTGCTTGGATGTCTAATAAAAATCCAGCGCAGTTCACATAGGGATATGTACATATACATATACGGCCCGGCGGTGTACGAAATGCACAACTATCTGTCATCCCAGCTATTCACCACATAACAACATATTACACCTAGCTACATTTGAGTATGTTTTGTGCCTGGATACCGCAGGCACACGGAATATATAGCTTCTTCACCAGCACAGTGCAATAGATGTTATGTTCCGTAAGAGGTCGGCACTGTCGCGAAAGAAGTCAGTGCGTTCGCCAGTATATAGATCGTGCTTGCTGGTACAAATTATAGTTGTATGTTTTCTGTATTGTAAAACATAGCCTTCGTCTGTAATATGTGGGGTGGTAGAGACTAAAGAGAGGCCTCTCTAGACTAAAGAGAGGCATCTCTACTAGTAGAGAGTATTTACTATTTAGAGGGTGAACACTGAACAGCCGCTAATTTATACTTTTCCGTGTGCTTAAAATATTCCATTTTGATTGGGTCTACCGTAGACTATCATATTACAATCAGGGGTTCATATTTAGAAGTTTATTTATATATATATAAATTTTTTTTTTTTGATTCTGTTCACTATTATAGTAAGACAATTTAAATTAGACATTTAAAATGCTCATTTCTATTTTCATATATATATGTATGTGCTGGGGTGTTTATAT